CAGAGACTTAGTGCCTGAGTTGTGGCACGGCCAGAGTTCCACAAAGGTGGTGAATTTTTGGAGACGAACAACTGTACAGTAAGACACAGTATCACAAAATTCGATTTTTAGTTATGCCGAAAAATGAGATACTCAAAAATACATAAAATAAAATAGCCGGATCTTAATGCAATGTATATTTCATGTTTCTTATTTGTAAAATGAGCCGTTTCCAGTAAATTTCGCAAACTTTCAGTTGCTATAAATGAAAGCAGACTGTGTAGACTAAAACCTGAATACTGCTAAGAATACTAGCGTGCGTCTAGTCTTAACTACTGCTGTGCTCACATGAGTCGGCCACTGGGACCCGATCTTGAGCCAAATAAATCCAGTCTACATCCTCACAGAGCAGTCGGTATAGCGACTGGCTCCGGGCTGGACGGTCGAAAGGTCGGATTTCGAGTCCCGGCAAAGGCAGAAATTTTTTCCTTTCCATGTCGTCCAGACCGGCTCTGAGGCCCACTCAGCCTCCTATCCAATGTGTACCAGGAGCCTTTTAACCAGGCGTAAACCGGCAGGGGCATGAAGCTGACCACTGACCTCCAACTAGTGCCGAGGTCAAGAATACATGGATATGTACAACTACTCCCCACGCGTCTTTATGGCGCAGTGCTTAATTAGTTAAGCACACGGACGACTTTACCTTTTACCTCCATCCTCATACTTTATTTATTGAAGATCCATTTTCATATTAAGATGGTATGCACGCATCAGCAGTGTAATCCATCAGTATCTAATGTCAACAAAATGTACCACATGATAGTTTCATAAAGGCAGGGGGCTGGCGACCAGCTTCTCCGGAAGGCCTTGAAGAATTGCTTTTAGAAGTCTTTCTGCATTCTCCTCCGCCTGACCTTTACTAATTTTCCCAAGGATGCTTAATCCTGGGAAGCACTTCCTTGAATTCCTTAATTAGAATCTCCGAAATGTTTGGCAATAGGGAAGACGACTGCCGGTTACGAAAAAAGCATACAACGCCCAGAACTTAGGCAGTTGGGTCACCAACTCTCCGGTTTGCTACGCTGAAGGTTTCTGGTCTTAGTCCGTGCCCTAAGGCAGACTGGTCTAATTTTTCGAGTTTTTCTCGGTTCCTGCACGCAAACGCTGGGATACAGTCGCGGAATATATAATGCATGCTTCCTTCCAAATCCATCTCGATTCATCATTCGCAATCAGTTTTTCATTCGAGGCTGAAAAACAAATGCAGTTGATAAAGCATCATTAAACAGAGTAAAACAACGAGACGTGAAACAGTGTCGCTAGGTAGCAACTAAGAATGAAACCTAGAGTACGCTCAAATAATGACCATGTGCCTTAATCCTCTCGAAAACTTACTTTATTGGAAGGAAAATAGAGAAATTAGCAGTTTGCTTACCGTGGCTTCTTAGTAACTTGAAACCTTTCAGGAAGATTCACAGAGCTGTTTTGTGCGATTCTCCTCCAGGTGACCTTGTTGTGGGCATCTGGCAGATCAATTCGACCTGCAAATATCAATAAATATTAGTCTATAATGACACTATCTCCGAGTAGTACATTACTCTACATTAGTGAGCGGATCTGGAGCGAAAACTGCCATACTCGCAGTTCCCGGTCGAAACTGTGTTACATGGCATGTAAAATGTCAGGATATACCCGATGCACACCTGGAAAGAAAACTTGTGTTAACTTATAATAATGTAGGAATATACCAGACATGCTACTGGAAACTGGTCAGATTAGTTTTAAACAACATACAAAAACTGTCGGTATATATCAAACATATAACTGAAAAGGGCTAGGAGCCTATTTGACTCTAATGTTTCGATAAGCGCAGAGACCTAAATGGTGTTTCAGTCTTTGTATGGGTACAAATTTCATTTCTAAGAGGGAAAAAAATATGATAGATTTTAATATGAATTTGTAAAAAAAGGTAAAGCTGTCCCGGTAATAGAGTGTGGAGACCCATAGGGTTCTAAAACGTTGAGACTCTCACGATTAACATGAATCTGTAACACTCTGAATTCGAACATTTATGCCAAATGGGTATTTGTGCTGAAAGTAGGTAATAGCCGCAACTCAGAAGAGCCTCAGTATGATAAAAAAGAATAAAAAACCTTAAACTTGTAGCTCAAAGCACCATCAGCTGTAGCAGGGCCCTAATCAATACAGGTTTGTTTTAAAATGCGAATGTTTTTTAGCGCAGCGTGAATATGAAAAGCCGTCATCTGTTAGGTCAAGACTGTAACAAGAAAAGTCGGCCTACCCAGTAAATACGTACTCTTGTCTGAAAGTTGTTATTCAAAACAAATTAGTAATTTGCGTTCACCAAATTTTTAACATCATCAAATCACGAAATACTTTTTAACCCATGTAGACAGCTATGGAGTATGAAGTGGTGAGCTCATTTACTTCGAGGGATCAGATACTTAGGTTTTAATATCACCAGTAATACTGGTGAATATAAATTGTACGCAAGTAGATGATCCAACACATATCGCCATTATTTTAAAAAAATTCATACAGTGCTTACCCCCCCTTAATTTTTTTTGTGAGTCCTCTGAACGAAGAGACAGAAAGTAACGCATAGTGGGCAATCAGTGTCCGCATATTTCATTTCCGAAAAAAGTAGACAAACTTCGAATATGTTAGCATTCGGAATCAACACCGACATTTTTCTGGCGAATCAGATTTCAGTCCGTATCGGCCCATATTCAAACGTTATGATATATCCAAAACCTTAAAGATACATTTACAAAATATGTGTGTTCCATTCTGGTCCGTCACACTAACAATATTACAAATGCTAAAACAATTCCGTCCAGTGTGACTGTTGAAGCTTTTACTACTTCACTTCTTAGCGCCCTAATGGTGGTCTATAGGGACCGAAACATGTTAGGGTGCTAAGAAGTGACGTAATAAAAGCTTCAACAGTCACACTGGACGGAATTGTTTTATCATTTGTAATGTGTGTTCCAGTTTAGAATTAAGTACGTTTCCACTCTTATCTCATAAATTACGCAAATAAATACGAATATATTTTATATACGTGTATCAATCACCGAAAAAAACATCCGGATCCCACGTTCAATACAAAGCTAACATAGGGCCTGAGTTTCGTAAGTATTCTAGTTGTCAATCAGGACGAAAGAAAATTCCGATTGCAGACAAGACTGTCAGTACAGGGCGAGGGTGGAGAACCGGCAATATCTGGATGCGTCATATGATCACGTGCAAACATGGATTCCCCGTGAGTGTCCAGTACTTACCGACAAACGCTTCGCAGAACAGTCTTACTTCATCCCCAGTTTCAGCATAGAGGTCCCGCGGTTCATACATCTGCAGCGGGGTACCTGAGTAGCCGGCAGCATCTGCAACGAGACGGGCGGAAATTCAAGTACAATCGTCTGTAATAAAAACTGAAACACTATGCCGCTGGTATACAGCATTTCCGGTATCAGAAGAAGCGGATAACACGGTTTCAAAATTATAGCAAAGAGACCAAAATTATGTTTGAAATTATCTAATGTTTAATACATATATTTGAGATACACGAATTTACGGAGTAAGCTCCATTCCAGTTTTCAGTTGACTGCAATCATGCCAGATATTTTTATTGAAGCCTTCAAGATTTTATTGCTGAAGCGTGCTGGTCTACTGAAATTTCGAAGAACCTAGCTGCCTCCATTTTCAAGGCGCCTTGATGACATACGTTCACCTAAACGCTGCCAAAATGACTCAGCCACAACACGGCGGCCAATATAAATATGATGTAATGCAGTGCTTCTTAACCTGTGGTCTGCTGTCTGTGTGTGCACCTATACCGATGTCTGTTAACAAACCAGGTCTGTAGTTAATGGCATTACTTCGGTGCTCCGTAAGAAGGCCTTCAGTAAAAAAAGAAACACTAAGAATGTATTAACTTGTCTAAAAGACGTGTAAGATTTGAGGCTTTCACGGCGGTGACTATGAAGAAAGCAGTCTTCTGCGATTTGGCACCGTGTATATGTGGTGTTACCGACGTTTCGGAGGAACGTATCGCCTCCATCTTCAGGGAAGAAGAAAAAAATATAAGAAATCTGCAAAACGTCGGTTAACACCACATATACACGGTGCCAAATCCCAGAAGACTGCTTTCTTCATTGTCTAAAAGACCTCTATATATCAATAACATATATTTTTGACATAATGGCTGTTCACCATGCTTTAATTTTCACTGTATAAACTTTAAACTTTAACACCGCTAGGAGGAGAGAGAAATGTGACGATATATGTACTTTCGGCAAAAGTCAACGCTGAAAAGGGGGGCATCTAAGCCTTTGTTACCAAGCTAAACATAATATGTAAATCTACACACTTTGGTGGAGGCAATCAGACTATCCGGAACCCATGCCCTGCTTATAACGGACACACTTCAACATGGTTGTGGCGGTGGTGATACTATTTGCATTCTTATGATCTTTCGCCAGGCTAAAAGCAACGAAGCATAAATTCATGTGACACAACACACTTCTGAAGAGTGAAAACAACACAGCAGCCACGAGCAAAGCCTGGACGATATAAAGGTAGGACATAACATATCCTCAAACATATATATATATATATATATAGACAGTATTAACATTGAAATAGTAAAATACCCATAATATATTTGCAGAACCTCCACATCAAGATAGCCAGGTGGCACAATATCTGCCCCATATAAGAGAGACGATGGGAGGACGAACACGAGACTGCGTGGT